TCAATTTTGAAGAACTAAATTTTTGCAAATAAATGAACAACATCAACTTGAGATGTTGTTCATTGAGATGTTATTCTTTGAGATACTTAACTAAATAAACTTTACTAGCAATCTACTTCTAGAAACATTACTAGAAGTATAGTAAAATTGAAGAGAATTTTTATAAGAGAAAAGTACATATTCTCGTCAAGCACAACGAGAACTTGCTATTCTCCTTTTAATAATAAGTCTGTCATATTGGCAAAAAAAATAGAAAACGAAATTACTCAATTTCGAAGAACTAAATTTTTGCGAATAAATGAACAACATCGACTCGATATTCTTTGAGATACTTAACTTTCTTTTTAATAGCCAAATTTCCTGTAGGGATTTCATAGAGAAATGACAAATCTTTCGTACTAACACCTGCGGCCTAATCAAACGCGATTTTATCGTCAAAATGTTTCTAAAGTTTCAAGGTATCCGGCGGACGGGAGAAATTGCAAAGTTCTCGCGACGCCACGAACGAGCTCGTCTTTTGTGCAAGAATTAAAAGTGTCAAAAATACAATTTATCCCGCGCGTCGTGGATGGACGTGTAATTTACGCGTGTGTAATGTCGACGTCGGCTGCGCGCGAGAAACTTCGCAATAATTAAAACCTTTTGTCACCTTGACACATGGCGCGCGCATACACACACCTGATCAACGTTTGGATAAGATAAGAGCGTTATAAATATCTCTCTTTCTCTCTCTCTCCCTCCCGCGCAAGCCGCGTTCGCAAATTCGCGCGTTTCGTTCGCCATTTACACTCAAGCTATGTATCTCTTCCTCGCAATCGAGCACTGCTTCGTAAGCGACCAATCAATGTTCGCTCGAAGCACACCAGCGAAAGTTAGCGTCCAATTTTTCCCAACAACTAACGTCGTCTAATGCCGACGGTGGATTTTTCATTTAATTATTATTATTCGCTTAATTATTCCCCTTTTTTTCTGTCGAATGTTGAAGTGACCTTTGTGTAAATTGCATTCCATGGTATCCCATTCGCGTGGATTACGTCGACACCTCAGAGTGTCTAAGTGAGTAACACCTTCCCCGTAATTTCATCGCGGTAATGTCACGACGCGAAATGTCAGACGGAATGAATAATTTCCCAATCGATGAAACTCCGGAACACATTTCTTTCAGAGTGCCTCTTGCACGGCTGCCATAGACGGCGTCTTGCGGCCCTCTCCTTACAACGGCAGATAGGATTTATCGACAACCCGGTTTACTTTGGCGATTGCCCTTCTTTTCCATTCCATGACTCAGACTTATCGTGATAACGGAGTAAGGGCGTGGTACACCGTCTATTACACTGATAACACGTACGTTTCGAGCGCGCACGCCATGCGGGGTTTATAACGCTCCTCCATGATCATCCCGCTTCTAAGAATAACGCGATAAAAGGCAAAAGCCGCGAGTCTTTGATATAACGTCGAAACTTTTTGGAGAGCAACATCTCTCGCCGTGAAGGCGCGCGTCTGCGCGACAATTGGCATTCGACAGCAACGAGAGGCCCCGAATCAATGGCCGAATCGATTTTCCGGGCGCGGACTTCTCGTCGAAAGCTGCGTCACGCGTATCCATTAGCTCCGCTACTCCTATCGGGAAATCTCTAATCAAAAGATCAAGTCTCGATTACACGGCCAACAAGCGGAGCAGCGTGCCGGCGATGAACCGCGAACGATAATGAGAAGCAAGCGTAATAGCAGTCGGCGGAGGACTCGCGGGGAAGAATATACGAGACGGCTGAGCTGCTGGCTTCCCACGCCGCGCCTTTCTCCGCGGGCAATTGACTCGAATCGTAACGCGGTAATGCGCAATAATAATGAAAATAATCCTCGCGACGCTCGCTAAGAGCACATTGTCCGCCGATCGAGCTCTGCTCGCGATCAGTCTCGCACGATGCATTTTCCCACAAATAAAAATACAAAGCCTCTGAGATCGCGTTTTACTCCGCAATCTTCTCATCCGAAATAAAAGACAAAAGTTCCCAGTCCTGGACACTCTTAATGTTTTGGTTTTTAACTCTCTGAGTATGCTCGAAAAAGTTTCGTAGTAAAATCTTCAATTCCTTTTGATTTGCTTAAACTATTGTACGTTGCTTGTAGCAAACACAAATGAAAATCAGATATTTCGTATTCTATTCTTTCTATTCTATTTCTATTCTATTCAGATATTTTGTATTCTATCCTTCAAAAATTCTTCAAAGAAATAGCAATGGAGAGTAAAGAAATATAGATATGCTTATTAAAAAAAAAAAGAAGAAAACCTACTTTGAGGAAATCGCACGATCATTTTAAATCACCACTAAAGGAGTTATTTCGACTTTCAACGTAGAATATTTTTGCGTGATTGTTCGCAAAATGATAGAGGAATTTTGCGTGCAATCTGATTAATTCTCCCTGCAGACAACGTGTATGTCATGAGTCGTCAGACATCCTGTCTACAAAAGATGCGTATGCATGTTTTATATTAAAAGTTGAAATATTCATGTTTAAAAACCAGAATAACAAGATTCTCCATTTAAGTGCGTTCCCTGGCATAATTTTATCTTACACGCGACACACCTGGATATTCTTTCATCGTCAAATCCGATGCTCCTTTTCGCTTTCGTGCTCACTCTTGCACGCATCGCGTCTTCGGGCTCGATTCACGTTACGTAAGGCCTTGTTGAAAAAGAAAAAAAAAGAGGAAAAAAGAATCGCATCGTCGTGCGCGTGGAACAAACGACGGAAACCCGCCGTTACCATTAGCATTACGATGCTACAATGAAATCCACTCGCCTCGAAGGTCTCGAAAGTAAGCAATTCAGCGCTCCGATCTACGCGGCGGGCACGATCGCGGAGGTGAATCGGGAGTAAATCAAGACGTCGTCGTGGCAAGTCAGTCGACGCTAAAAATCGCGCAACGCTCCGCTAATGAGGAACGATCTTTCTTACGGCACCCAGCTGTCTTCGCGGCCTGTGCGCGATCGCCGAGCGCGCATTGCGATCGGTGGGCGGCGTGCCGGACTATCAATCGTCGCGCTCTTTCCGGCTCGCTTTTGCGCAACGTCGTACCGACGGCGATATTCGCAACATTCTCGTACGTGAGGTCAAGCGGAAACGCGGCAAGTGAAAAACTGCGGAGTCACATCGCGGCCGGGTATGAAAAATTCATCAATCATCAGCCACAGGGGGAATCGACGGTCTGCGATTTCACGTTAAACTTTTTGATCATCTTTCCTGTATTTTTTTTCTTTTTTAATCGAAACTGCGTAATCAGATGTATCAATCATACTGTCTAATTAATAATTAACTTTCCGCAGGCCACGATGTGTGTTCGCCCGTTTGCTTTTTCTCTCTCTCTCTCTCACCTTGCCAACATTGGACGCTGTAATTATTTTATCGGTGAGTGAAGGGCGAACGTTTTATTTTTCTCACGCGATTGCAGGCCATTTTAATGCAACATTTCATGCCCCTCACGTACAATTTACCGATACATGAGGCGCCCTTTTTTACGCACGTCCAAATGGAAATAGAGAAAAGGAGAGAGAGAGAGAGAGAGAGAGAGAGAGAGAGAGAGAGAGGATTTGCTTCTCTGGCAAAGGACCGCGATCTCAATTCCCAAGAGAATCCAAAGCCTGACGCGCACTCGTGCACAAAGGAGTCTCTGAGTTCGAAATAATAACTACGCCCGTCAGTCGCCTCGCAACTCGTCCGCCGGCGAACTCCTCTGGAACGATGCGACCAGCAAGATCAGAGAGCGCCTTTCGCCTCTACCCGAGCACGTACACCTTAGTTTGCACACACAGAGTGCATACTTGGCGTTTAGTAACTGTCCGTCTCGCGTGTCACACGTTGACGCGATACCCAGAGCGATCTCGATATCAGACAAATGGAATGGAAAATCGAACAGCTGCTCGAAGAGACGGACATTCAAGCACGTATCTGCGTCGCGCGTGCAACGCTAAATGCGATCATGCAATTTCGGACTTAATCCAGCGAGACAGGCGGCGCCGTGCATTTCGGATGTGTACACAAAGCCGCGGAATCAAACAGCTGCATTTAGCGACGAATGAGAATACGGGGTCTCTTTATTCGCGCTCTAAATGCAGAGTCAACGATGGCAGCGGCCACGTCTTCGCGACGGTCGTGTTTACGCATGTACGAATTATAGATACGGCGCGTTGCATTTTTGCGGGATCGCGGCTGCGTCGTGTCGCGCAAGAGATGACCTCGCTTTTAGCCATAGGAACGTTCGGTTGGCAATCCGACCTTGGAGACGCGCGTACACGTGACGCGAAGTAAGCGTCACACAAGAGCCCTTTCATCTTCAATTATTTCCCTCGCGTATCATCGCGAAAAACGTCCTGGTATAAACGACACGCGCAATCTCGTCGAGATTCTCGCCAGTCTCGAAGGAAAAACAAAAGGGAGACGTCAAAAGCGTTTCTTCCACGAAGGTTCCCGAAGAAATGTAACAGAATGAACCAGCGACGATAAAGCGCAGAGCGTGCGCTATAAATACGCGGCGACACGCGAGCGCGCGCATTCGCCGCGATCCTGAAATACTGCGATATAACGAAATGTCCATACGACAAATTGCGCTTGCCCTAACGAGACCTCGTGCCACGCGCTCGATGCGCGCTTCAGTTCAGTCGCGCCGCAGGATAATCTTCCCTTAAAGCTTCATCTATAATGTGTTATTTGCTTCCTGTTACTTTTTCTTCATCTCTTTCTGACTCAAGCCTTAAACCTTAAACTAAAAAAAAGACAGAAAATAAGAAACAGGAAGCAAAGAACACACATTGTAGATCAGGCTTAAAGAAAGGAGAGAACGCGAGAAGAAGAGCGCTTGAAAACCGCAGCTCGAAAAGCCCTGGCCGGAAGTAAAATAGAGAAAAACGTCGTGGAAGTCGTAGACGTCGGGACACCCCGTAAAGCCGCGGCTATTTTCTTCGAAGGGGACCTCTTTCTTCACTCCGTCGCTCTCTTACCCTTCTCTTCCTCCTCCTATTTCTTCTTCCACCCCCTCACCGTCCCACGAGCCGACCGATCTCTACAGCGAAAGCCGCTTACCTCACGCTGTAGGATCTTCCCGGTTTGGAGGTCATTGCACTGCGGCGGGTGGTCGTCGTAGCGGGGTGGTCGGTGGTGGCGAATCGATTTTCCATGACAGCGTACGACGTCGTTCGTTGGAGGTCGTCTCTCTTTCCTCCCCCCGACCCGCCCGTTCTCTCCCTATTACCCTCGTTCCTCACCTCGCCGCGCTCGTCCCCGTGTTCCTCGTGGCACGTGACCAGGACGTGAACTTCGCTCTTACGAGACCGAAGAGAGCATCCTCTTCAAGATGCAGGTCGATCGATACTTGGTCGCGTCCCTTCGTTCGGTCCTCCTCCGCGCTTATACCCTTCGCTCCTGGTACACGCGTGCTCCCCTCACGTCGACTCGAAGATGTCCAAGCGACACCTGATGGAACGCGAGTTCGGGAGCCTCAGGGTTATCGGCATTGCCCCAGGCCGGTGAATATCCGACGGACGTAAACGACTGACGCGACTGCGTCTCGAATGTACGACGAATAGGTTCGACGATCGGGACTGAGGATGGGTGGGTGGAAAGGAGGGAGGGCCGCGTCTCTCCTCAAGGCTGTCGATTGCTCGTGTCACGATTCGGGAACTCGTGACGTGAATTCGCCAAGTGCGCTACCTCGGCCCGCGAAGTCGGTTTGAAATAACGTAAACAGTTCGCATGACAGGAACCAATGTCACGGCGACGGTGACGCGATCGTTTCTGTTTGCACGGGAATTTATGACTGAGCGACGTTCGTCGAAGAGTGTTTGTTTGTACACCTTCTTCCTCAGCTTTTTCCACGGCTCTTTCACCTTCGTCTTGTCCCGGGCATGGTGGTCCCGGTTGTGTCGCGTCGCGACGCGGCCCCACGTCGGGAAATCCCGGAGTGATCGATGCACGGCGAACCACCTTTCGCGACTGCAAAAAAGCTCACGTGACCGTCGCGAATCACGTCGTTTCCGATTTCTCCGACGATCTCCGCGGATTCGTTATGGATTCTTTGCACACCGCGGCGGCCTTTGTTCCGCGGGTTCACGGATAATCAGCCTTGGAAATTCGCAACTATTGTACCTCCGAAGTCGACAACAAACGAGGTCCATTGAGAAGAAATAGTCGACGATAGTCGGGGATTTTTGCAGGAACGCAGGCGCCCGTGATTTCCGCGAGGGCTATTCACCGACAGCTGTTTGCAAAAGTCCCCGTGTGAAACGATCAATGTCATAGCATGTACAAAACACGAACGTAATCTCCATGTGAAAACGACTCCGCACTAGCACACTGTGTTTAACTGCCGCCGAGGTTTTACGCTCTCAACTTCGACAAACACTCCCGAGTTTACGAGAGAGACTTCCTCTCGTTCACGTGGTCGCGGTCTCTTCGACACCCACGAGCGGAATGAACGAGACTATCCCGAGCGGAGCGAAACGCGTAAAGTGGCTCGTGGCGCCGGGGGTGATTCTCGTGTGCCGACGCGTCGGCGTCGTTGCTGCAATTCGCTGCAACCACCCGTGGTTGCACTACGTTTTACTCCTATCGACCGTATCGCACTGCGACGAGGAATCGGACTGGCCGGTGTGCCGCGTGCCGCGCAGGTTTCATAAGTGCTCGGGAGCGCGCGCAGGCTCGAGCGGCACTACTATGAGAAGCGCAGGTGGCGCCGAATTAAACGCTCGTTAATGTCACTTATCTTCCAAGCGCTCGCTGAAAAGCTCCTTGATCGCGTTAATCACTGAATTACCGTTCAAAATTGAACATCCCGTCGCAGGTCGATCGACCAATCGACAGATACGGAGAAAATTCTTTCCTTGAAAGAAGAAATTATCTAAAGAACGAGAAATTATCTCGAAGAAATGCAGCAGAACGTTTTGTCACTCACAGGTCGAATAGACAAGAGATATATTTACTCGACAGAAGAGTTATAAAAACCAGCAGCCTTACTAGTCAGCAACCTTCAAAGGAGAATACATTTCCCACAAAAAGTCATTCTTTTTTATAATTTTATAACAGATTGGGAAAATGTATGTGTGTGTGTATTATCTTTTTGCTTGAGACAGATATACGGTTTTGAGGAACGGTGAGACGAAGGGACGAAAAAATATCGAAATAATTACAATTTTACAACAGTGACAGCACATGAGCTCAAGGAGAAATTACCCATTGAGGTGACTCGGGAATTAACAGGATTATCCGCGCATTATCTCGTGCAATTTGCACGTTCATCCTTCGCACAGTGCATTCCACGAGCCCGCAGACGTGCCGTTATCGTCGGATCCGCAGTATCAAGCTCGTTGAGAGCCGGCCAATTAAGAGCCGCACGCAACGGACCATTGGCCGCATTAAGGCCCGGACGATCGCCAGATACCCAGCTATCTCGATCGATTTCCGTCCCGAGATCTCCACCCCCGCGAGGCCAAAGCGTGAACGCATGTAGCGACGTTCTAACGGCTGCTAATTACGAACGACGGACTGAGTCACGTCGATGAGGGACAATTAACGCGCTCGCGCGCGCAGTAACAATCACGCCACTCACACCGTCGCACCATTAAGGCGCGCGCATTAGTACGATATTAAACGGCACGACGGTGATGACGAGATACGCGAGCTGCTTATTGCTATTAGGTGACGAGAGAGACTATGCTAAACGAACACCGCGTTTATAACCGCGCCATGACCACCAAAAGTCTGGAATCTGGCTGTCCGCCACATAACTCGCAGCCTGCGGCAAGGCGAGGGGATCAATCGCGATCGGGGTTACCGCAATCCTGTCACTCTTCATGAATTGCGATTTCCATCGTTCCGCCCCCAACCCCTCGAAAATAAATCGAAAATAAAAAGAAAAATCCTCGGCCCGCGTAAATTTAATTTTCTCGATCGACAACTCTTTTGCAACTGAAAGCAAAAAGAGTGAAAATATCGGAGAGATTAAACGAATGGGCATTTTTACATCTCTCGTACATTTTCCGCAATCTCCGTCCGGATCCTTAAATCTCGTGGACACCGCAAACGAGGACGAAAAGTCCGCGGACCAAGTCCGCTGGCGCGGCCCGTCGGACGCGCGTGAATTATAGCCCGCATAAATTTGCGCGGCTTCGCCGTGACAACGCGCCGCGCCCCCGGGCCCGAAATCCGCGGAAGAGCGTGTTTCCGCTCGCGACAGGGACGGAATCCGTCGGCGAAGTAATCCCGACAATGCCCCGGCGAGAGTGCGGCGGCGGCGGCGTAACGCCGCGGCGATTTCGCGCGCGGAGTATTCTAAATCGCGCGCGGCGTTCTCGGACTTGCGCGTCTTGGCCGAGAACAAACGCGGCTGACGCGCTGAGATTACGCGGAATGTCGCGATGAATTTCTGACCCGAGGGGGTCTCTCCCTCTTCTAACTAGCGCATCGTAGCGCGTCGAGCTATTCCAGCCGGAGGGACAGGGCGCGCCGCGCCGGGAATTCGCGCGACTCGCCGGGGAAGGTTGGCCGATGGCACGTACAAATTGCACCAAAAGATAACGCTCGCGACGGCACACCCGTCGCTTCTCATCGGCTCGCGCGAAAACGTCAAGCGCCGCGGTTTAATTAAAAGAGAAAGGATGGAGGAATTGCGGGTCCGGACGACTTGCAACTCACGGTTGTAACTCGCTTGAATTCTTCGCGGTCGATAGTACGACGTTGGCCATCGCCGTCCAGCGCGATCGCGAATGTACCTTGCAAGCTTGCAGCGGAGCAGAGCACAACAGGCTCAAGGAGGATCGCGGAGCTTTCACGACGGATAAAACCGAGGTCTTAAGACTATGTTGAGAGTCGCGACATTCGAGCTTGTCAGGTCCGTTGAAATGCGGCGGCGATAAGTTTCCTCGATTGGCCGCGAAGCGAGCCGGGTGCCTGCTGTGTGATCATTATAAATTACGCGTAATGGTACTAGGCTGAAAATGGCACACACTAGCTGAAACTATGCGGAATGTTGCCGCAGATCGCCAAGGCGGACGCTTTCTTGAATTACGGCCGCACGAGGTACTTCGCCGGCCGTTTCTCGCGCTTGCAACACCAATTGCGTTTGTACACGTGTACTGAGGCTAGAACCGCGTGTCTCTTTCGTGTTGCGCGCGCGTACGGTTGAAGACGCGAGTCCCCGATGCAAGTCCCGGGTCGTGTTTTTCCGTGCGCCTCTCACGCAGCAAATTATATCGCAAAGTAATTTCTCTGTCGCCCCCGATGTGAATCTCACTCGACGCCTGTGCTTCGCTCCACGTCTATCGATCGGTCTCCCTGTGACCGATACGCATGAGCGAAGTATGTTCTTATTGACTTGATCTGCTTTGACTTTCCGTGCGCGCGTTTCACTTTCCGCTACTGCGGGGGGAGAGAGAGAGAGAGAGAAAGAGAGACAGAGAGAGAGCGAGAGAGAGCGAACAACGGTATATTTCGACGTTAACGGTCGTAAAAAGGCATCTCCCACGATCGTCACGCGAGAGGGCCCGTGTCTCAGCGCCATTCGAACGACGGTTCGCGCTGCATAACATCCTTCTCACTCGCGAGCGAACGAATCGTGAAATAGACGACTTAATTTCGGCGACTGACACGCTTCTGGTCTGGAATAACGTCGCGGCCGACGGCGCCGGTAATTCATGTCGGATGACAGCGGTGTAATTTAGGCGCCACATAAATCCGCGAACGTTGTCGGCCGGTGGTCAAAGATGAAGTCGCGCGACGAAGTTTCGCGCATACCGTAAGCGGGATTCCAGAGCGGCGGCGCGTACACGGCCCCGCGGACGCGTACTCCCCGGGGAAACCACAAAGAAAGTCGCCTGGAATGCCGGGAGAGTCGCAGACGCGTAAATCGCTCGGCGCTCTCTCGTGCGCATAGGTGCGCACACTCCCGTGTAAATATAGAACGCGTCCCGAAATATGTCTTTCAGTCCGCACTTAAAATCGTCGCTTCCGCCGGCGATCCGTCGGGGTTTCCACCACCTAAAGGGCCGCGCTACGAGACCGTCGACGCCGCCGCGGCAGCCGTGCTTTCTCAACGCGATGCAAGCGTCGGCGACGCTCGTCTCGCGGATCGATCGCTCGATGAGCTTTCAAAAATAATACCACCTCAAGAAACGAGCAACGCCGTCAGTCCTCTCGAGTTCGGTGCGTTCCTGACGACTACATTCGTGCGAAAATAATGTCGCGTTATTCCAAGTCGAACTCCTCGCGGCTTTCTCGCTACGACGAGATTCGGGCATTTCTCGCAGCGTGAGGAGAAACATCCGTGTGACCGGGAGAATTCCTCAAGGAAGCGATAAGGGAAGAAGAAGTCTATCGATCCACGTGATCGTTCAGGCGTGAAGCCAGTGTCTTAGAATGATGGGTAGATCGGATTTGCGATCGAGCGGTGCCGCACGAGAAGGCCGCAGGGTTTACGCTGCACGAACCATTGATCTCGGATTTGTTCAGTTCGTGTCGTGATAGATCCGTCTATTTCAGTACACGAATTGTGCACCGTCATCGAAGAAAGCTCGTAATAATAATAATAATAATAATAATTGCGACAACTTGGTAACACTCGCTTTCTAGCCGAGACCGCGGAGAGACAGATGAAATTCGACTATCAAGAAATAACCTAGGTAAAATAAAAGCTGACTTACTTTTTCATTTGAACGGACCGACCACGGCCTGTTGACTGATTACGACCTGATGATTGATTGCGGCCTGTCGACTGATTGCAGCCTGATGATCTTGAATAATTTATATTCCGTGGGTACTCACACTGAGATAACATAATAAGAAACTATGCAAAGACTACGAGAAAACTATAAAGTACACTAAATGTTCAGTGTGGAAAACCTGACTGAGATATCGACCAACTCTGACTGACTGAGAAGATACACTGAGAACTCTCTGACTGCAGATTCAGTAAAAATCGTGTTGAACACAGAGAAGCGTCTTTTATACTGAACTTCAGGGGTGGTGAGTCCCGATCTACAATAGATGTAGTAAGCTTTAAGCCGTAAGAAATTAACCAATCACAATTATTCCTCTATAATTCCACTGTGATTGATCAATTTTTTAAGACTTAAAGCTTACTGCACCTATTGTAGATCGGGACTGACTTTCAGGGGTGGTGACAGGGGAGTGGACTCTTCAAAAGTCTGTTTCTCAATTGGTGAATTTGTTAAGAAGAAAGTAAGAAAAGGCTTTTGAAATCCTTTGGAGCAGAGACAATAGAGATTTTTATCTAAAGAACAGAGAATAGAGATTTATGTTTTCGGGGTCTTGTTTTATCTGATTGTTTAAGAAATGACAAGGGTCGTGTTGTCAAACAATACAGAAAAATGCGGTATTTTCTTTCTAATATTTCTATTTTAACCTATTAACACTAGAATTAACTGTGACACTTCACACATCTAGCAAGCAAGTAAATTCTTTAGAAAATTCACACAATTCTTTAGACACTTCACATATCTAACAAGCAAGTAAATTCTTTAGAAAGTTTTATCAATTGAATGGGCTTAAAACCTACAGCTATAAATAGATGACATAGCACTCAACATATTAAGATGTCTCTTTTAGAAGTTTCTGCTACCTGAGATGAAAGATTTTTTA